CAGCAGAAGCTGTGTCCCTTGTTCTTTATGGTTTTTTGAAGATTTTTTTTTTTGCCTGTTGCTTTCCACTTTTTTACTTCCTTTTTTTTTTTTTTTTTTTAATTCTCCATTTTTCCACTTAGAGAGAAAAATTATTTATTGCATTGAGATGCGCTAATTAAAGCCATTTTCTGGTATTTGGTTACTGAAGTGTTTGATGTCTCTCTGACAAGACCATGAAATGCACAGAGTGTCCACAGGGACAGAATTTGCTGAACACGGTGCTTTGTAAATGAGGGGACACAGTGTCGCAGCAGCTCATGAATATGAAACGCCCATGATGCTACCTCAGTGGACTTGGGAACACAGATGAATCCTGTCATGTGCTAAATGAGACCAATTTCTTTCACTTAACTTCATCTTCAATCAGACCTTCCATTTGCCTGTTTAAAATTCCCCAAACGTGATGCAGAAGGTAACAGCATTCAGTAAAACAAAGTTTTGCAGAGTAGAGATATTGTAATTATTTCAGTTCTACATTTTATGAGCAAGCAACATAAAATAAAGTTAGTTTCATTTTTATACCTGCTTGATGGTAGGAGATTGCCAGCTCCAGAAGCCACTACCTTCTTTGTGTTCTCTGGATATACTGGTGTGTGCACAGGGAGGGCAGCACATTACCCACCACAAGAGTGTCCATTCTGAACTGGCTATACTGACCCAGCTGGGGAAAGTGGATCAGACCGTGTGAGATGGAGTCTTCTTTGTTTGTGGGTGCCAGGATGGGGGCTCAGGGTACTCTTAAAGCAGCTTAGGGAGTAAGCGGCAACCACACTCCGACTAACTGCAGGCCTGAACTGGAACATGGTTTCTAGATGCAGCTTTGCCAGTGATTTATTGCCTGACCTGGAAGAGGTTCTGTCCATCCCTATTAATGTGCCATCTTGTACTAGCAGAGAACTTAGTTCTTTGGGGAGAGGACAGATCTTACTGGGAGTTTACAGGATCTTGAGAGACCCAGCCTGCAGGTGTTGCTACTAAAGCAAAAATCAGCCCTGCTAGGGAGGGGAGGTGCAGTTTGCCAACTTTCAGGAGCAGCTGGGTATTAGATTGATACAGGTTTTCCTATCTTCTGCTTGCTGCTTTCTGTGGTTGTCTTCTTTGCCTGTCAGTAAGTTATTTGCTAAGAGGTAAAAAAGGTGATGGCTGTACATGTACTTTATTATGAACACATAAAGCCCTCCTTTCTGTATGACTTGAAAAGCTGCTGTTCCTTGCTTATTGTCTGTCTGCCTTCACTCTTTCCCCTCTATCTCCTCCTCCCATTCACACACTTCTGTCTTGTGTCATTGGTGCCTTGCCATAACTTAGTCACAAAGTTATTTTTGTGTAAGACCTAGCTGTTGAAATAAAAGCTGTTGTGTAAGTTCAGCTGTTGAAATAAAATATTATTCTTATTTATATGCTTTAGATGTTCTGGGACGGTCATTTTTGTGCAGTGACTTAACTCCCCAATTAGCCAACATTTGGTACTGGTATCTCCTGCTTGACCATAACTTCCATAGGAGTATGCTCATTTTGATTTCATTCTTTGTTCGCTTGTTCATAACAATCTGGGAGGTGGAGGGGGGTTCGCATTTGTTATCTAGCATTTGATGTTCACTCATCTTTGCACAGGCCATTTGTCCACTTCATTGTTCACTACTTTGCAGTGACCTGGTATCTGTGAAGGTGTGTCCTTTGTTGCAGTCATTTCTGAGGTTTGCCTACATGGGCATAAGAGCTTGGCCAGTAAAGTAGGTGTCAAGGTTCAGCACCAGAAGGACAGGTTTATGGAAAATTATCTGAAACCCCCCCACACTGAACAGGAGAGGAAAAACATGGGTCACAGAGCAAAGCACACAGAGTGGGGTTTGTCATGCAACTTTGTTGTTGGAAAAAGATGCAATGCGAGATTGGGAGGATATGGTCCTGTGAACATTTCTGCATGTATATTATATGTAAAGCCTCCCTGCAGCTAGTGGGAATATAAAAAGTAGAGCATATGTATACTCTTCTGCTTCTAGCCTGTGCTGTGCTATTCCTCCTGCAGCTGACACTGTGCCACAATTTAGCTGTGTTACCAGAGCTTATAGGAAAAAAATATGTGAGTCTCAGGAAGAGCAACAAAAACAATTAAGTGTCTGGAGAATGAGTGGGGGTAATGTTGGGTCCTTGGTGATAAGTAAGAACTGAGACACTTTGCAAACTGTACAGAGACAAGGGAGAGGGATTGTGTAGAAGTGGCACCATGGGAATTGGCAGAGGGAAGAAGTAATTATGAGTAACAAGTGAAATAAAGACCCAAATATTTCAGGAATTATTTGCCCCTGATAGCAGTTACCCCAGGGACCTGATATTTTCTTAAAATTTGAGACATTTCTGTACTGTTTCCTTCAGTCTCACAGTCCTAAAGGGCATTGCTTCTGCCTAGAAATGGGCAAAGCATCTGCACTTTGCAGTAAGAACAAGCGTGCACTGGCCTTTGTTGGAGGGGCTGGCAGGGGCCTCCAGAGCTTTTCCAGCTCTTCTGTCTGAAATATTTTCAAAGTGTCTATAAAATATTGGAGCCTTGAATTTCTTTTGGAAAGAATTTCTAAGTGATCGCCTGAATTTTGCTAATACAGAGTGGAGGTCATGCTCTGCAAGGGGTTTAGAAATCTCTCCATGGAATTCAATGGCAATGAGATAAAATCAGCGCTAGAGAACCAAGAAGTCTATGTGAACCTGCAAAATGGAAGGGACATCACTGATCAGGGCCTTAAGTTTACAACTTTTTCTAGTGAAAAAGAGATCAACAAAAATGAAAGAGAACTGGGAAGAGTAGACTCCTGAAATAGCTGCCAAAATGAGCACTGAGTGAAGAAATTCAGTTTCCTGCAAGCACCTTTTACATTTCTTCTGTCAAAAGTGGATAAGGATCTGACCTCCTGCTCTGTGGGTGAAGATAGCTCTGTTCCCAGGTAGTTTTTAATTTACTTGTGTTTGCTGAGAAATATTCATAGTCTCACCGTAAAAGGATAAATTAGTTCAGGAGAGGTTAAGTGGTTTCTCATTCCCATGCTCATTTTCCTGGACTTAACAGGGCACCTCTGCACAGAGCTTCATTCCCTGCCTTGGACCAGTCGCACCAGTCTGTTCCCTCCCTGGTTCTTGTTGCTTATATACAGGAACTTTCCCCCACATTATCCCTGAGCAGACTTTACCAACTGCCTCCACATGTCAGTCTGTCTGTCCCTGGAGATGCTTTTGTCCCAGAAATGCATTTTGCTACAAGTTTTACCAGGAGCTTGGGAGCCTATGCAGGGAAGAGCCACTGGGATAGCAGCTTCTACCAGGTATTATCCTCACAAGCAGAGCTGGGGAGATCTGCCCCAAATGCCCAGTGATGCACAGGTGAGACATTCCTTGCACTTGCCTCCTCTGTCTTAGGGACAGCCTAGGGGCTGTTGCTGCAGTTTCCCTTTAAATGTCTTTGGGAAGTTTGCTGTCGTTGGAGAACCTCTTTGCAGGCACCTGCTCCTTGGGTGGCTGGGGAGCTAGAAGGCACAGCTCTGCTGAGGCCGGCCAAGCTGTCACTCCTCTTGCTGTGGCCATGCTCATGACAGCCCCTGTCCTCCTCAGCCTTCCGCCAGGCAACCAATTAGTGAGAAATCCCACTGTGTGGCCAGTTCCGGCTGGCCCCCGCGCCAGGGCCCGGCTGACCCGTGCGCTGCTGCAGCTGGGCCAGCGCTGCCTCCTGGCCAGCGAGCGGGGCACACGGCGGACATGCAGCAGGGGAGGGCAGCTGAGAATCTGCGCAGCTCTGACAGGCGGCCGGACTAGAGGCTTCTCGGGAAGACCCTGCCCAGAGCCCTCGGCACCATAGGTGGGAATGTCTCTCCAGCTCCTGAATATTCATCTCAGCCTGGGCTGCAAAACGGGGCAAAGCCAGGCTCAGCTGCCTGCTGCCATCCAGCAGTAGCATTGCCGTGCTGCTGGCAGAGCTGGGAGCAGGCTGCTCATTCCAGTGCTGAAGGGGCCAGCTCTGCCTGCACACTGGGCAAGTGAAATCTTTTCCCTGAGCCAAACCAGCTTCTCTGTGGTTTGAGGGCTTGGGTCTCTGGAGAGCCTTTGTGGCCTTGAGTCTTTAAAGGAGCTCTGTATTGGTGTACTCTGTTCTTGCTTTGCGCCTGCAGTTACTTTGCCTTCTCTTTCTTCTTTTTTTGCACTAACTTTTTGCAGTGCTTTGTAAGATGATAGACTGTGTAATGCTTAGAGGGCCTTGCTTCTTCAGCAGGATGCAAAGCATACTCAGTTCATCCTCCTATCCTCAATTCTTTTATTTCTAACACACTTTAAGTTGGAGTAGCCATTGTCCTTGTGCTGGGAATACCCAGTGACCTTCAGCGATTCCAGGATGACACTGGAAATCATGAAAAGATTTGTGACAATACAACTGGACTTGTTCCCTAGTGTTTATATCTGCTAGACAACCAGAACTTCCTTCCTGAGGAAAGACACGGGCCTCTGCACAGCCTGAGACCCTGACAGCAGATCCTTCAACATGTAATTGTATGTGAATTCTCTCAGTTTCTGCCTCATGTTCATTCATTTTTAACAGAGTCCAGGTGACTGGTGTCTGAATAAATAACGCATAACAAGCAAATTCTTGCCAGTTCATGATGGCAATATAGGCAGCAAGGTTTAGTACAAGTGGCTTCTTTTGGCTTCAAGGTTGTGTTCAGATGCATAATCCATGGCCAGTAGAGCCCTACCTGCATTAATCCTCTCGCAAGATTTCTTGTGACCTCAGACTTCAAAGTTTTATTGCCTTGTTTTAATATTAAACAATATATTTTTAATTATTGCTAAATTGCTCTTTTGTGTTTTCCTCTAATAAGAAATAGGATGCTTCATATCTGTGAAGCAAGGGAACCTTTGTCTTCAGTGAGAGGCGAGCACAACTCTCCGTTTACTGCTGCTTCTTTCTCTTGTTTCAGACATTCCTGTGATCCCTGACTTGGAGGATGTCCAGGAGGAAGATCTGGCCATGCAAGTGGCAGCTCCCCCCAGGTAAGAGCTCTGCCAGGTGCTCTTGAGGCTCTCATCAGCAGTGCAAACTGGCTAGTGAAATTAAACCCATCTTACTCATGATCTTTGGATGTCAGCAGCAGTGCTGTTCAGCAGGATTTGGTGCGGTATTTTGTGACAGTAGTGCTCCAAGCTGAACAGTGCAAAATTCCTGTTTCTTATTACACAGAGAAAGCAATTACTGCATATTCTCCCTCTCTATAAAAAACTGACATTAGAATAACATATTTGATGTTGCAAAATCAAGCTCTCAAAAGTAGGGAATTTCTTGATTTAAGGTTGCCTGCATAACCACAAATGTCTCCAATACACATGCATTATCTCACACACTTTAATTTTGATGGTCGTAGGCTGCTGTGCCCTCCATAGGATATCCTTCTTACTCAAGTGTGTAGTTAATTTGCAAAGTACAATCCTGTTGCTTGAAGGTGCTATCACAGTAGCCTTGGAGTCAGCTCAAGAGAGACCAGAAAGTTTTAAGAAATGGAAGTTTTTGGAGTTTTGTCTTAAACATACCAGGAAAGTCTTCTTTCCTCTATATGGGCCTATTGCCAAGGTCACAGACTGGGATTTCTGTTGATCCTTGTTTGGAGGGGTGGGACATCTTACTGCTGGCCACAGATGCCTCTCTCACAAATGTAGAGTAGTTATTGTAATTCTATAGCTGTAAACAAAAATAATTGACAGTTTATAGTAATAAATTTAAAATTACTGTGTCTCTCACTAGAATGAATTTCTTTTTCTCTCTTTTTTTTTCTGGTCCTCCTGTATTCGTAGTTTTCTTGCAGTAGAAAAGACAAGTGACTTTTACAGACAAACACAGGCAAATTCAATTAATAAAGGTCTTTTCTATAGTGTTGGATCACCTGTGAAGGCAGGTGTGGTACAACAGTGTATCACCTTTTGAAGGCTACATTTTAGGAAGCCATATTTAATAGCTGTGATGCAGATCAGACATGAGAAGCCCAAAATCCCTATTATTCTGTATCTTGTATGCTATTGCTCACAGAGGCTCCTTTGCTAAGACACTGGGGCTGTTTGAATGCTTACTATGGCCTTCTTTTCTTTCTAGCCCTTGCAACTAGTGTATGGCTCTTCTTCTGGCATGCTGGTGTCTCAGTTAGTCCGTGCTTGTTCCACATCCTATCTTTATGCACGTACACAACCTGGTGCATAGATTTGTCAATGACTGTTCATTTGCTGACTGAGTTGTACTTCTGTCTGGTACATCCATCCCAAGAGTCTGCATGGGGGATGTGGACACTCAAGATGTCACCAGACTACTGTTCATGCCACCCTTCTCCTCACATGTGCTTCCACACTGACACAGCCTTGTTCTCTGACCCTTTCTGGCTGCAGTGTGCAGGTGAACCGAGTGCTGACCTACCATGACCTGGACAAAGATCTAATGAAATATGCTGCCTTCCAGACTCTGGTAAGTGGATATTTCTATGGGCTGGCTAATGTGAATCCCTCTCTTTCTGGGCTCATGTCATCCTTCACAGTGATACTCAGCTGCACAAAACACACAGCCTTATCATCCAAAGAACTTGCAGTCTCCCTGTAAGTCTGTTCCTCTCTGCAGCATTTTGTACTTGTTTGTGTCTGTAAATAATGTGGATATGGTATCTGTTGCTCAGATGAGTTCTTGCTGTTGTCCTGAACAAAGTGACCCTTATGAGGCAAATGTGGCAATGTCTAACAAATATGTCTGGTGAAATGATGGTGTTTTCTCAGTGTCTGTAAGACTGTGACTCTCTGTGTTCATAGGATGGGGAGGTAGACCTGAAGCTCCTCACCAAAGTTTTGTCTCCAGAGCATGAACTACGAGAGGTAAGTCTTTGTTTTATGGAAACACCAACACAATAAAAGCTTCTTGTGTGTCTCAGACTGTACTAGTAAAGGAAACCTTGTCAGTGGGGTGAAGAAGTGATGTGAGGAGGAGCTTGTCCAATCTGTTGGAGGTTTGATTTCCCTAGCAGGTGATTTTTAAGATAGATAGTACTTTCTTGGTGTGAGTTTATGACATCACTATGATTGGCCCCCTTCAGTATGAAGGAGCTGATCAGGAAAATGTGAAAGGCCTGGTACTGTCAGAGATCCCTGCAGAAACAGTGCTTTGTCCTCTGGTAGCCACCATGAGCTACAGGTGGTTCTACAGAAAAGTACAGAGGGACAAAGGCAGGAAACATTTTGGGTTTGGGCAGGGGCTTTTTAAAGCAGGACAGAACAACCTCAATACAACTGGGTAGACATGAGCTCAGGACTTGAAACAAAGGATTTCTGCAGCTTTGAATTGCACATGCTTCAGCAGAAGTGCTGAAGTGTGGAAGGGCTCCTTTCTATGCCCTGCCTGGGAGTATCTGATATTAACAAGCATCAACAAATATGTCCTTTTTGGAATTTTAGAGCATGAATAATTTTGTCCACTTTTTAAAATTGTAGCAGATACTCAAATTTCATTCTGGTTAGTATTCTTGTTCTAGCTAGCTGAATATGAGGCTTCCCTGGTTAGGGCAGTTGCCTTTTGGTTTCTCTCTTTGCTGTTCTGGCATTGTTCAGAGAACTTTGGGTGACACCAGTAACATTTCAGCATGTTTATCTTTTTTCCTCTTGGTAGGATGATGTCAGCTGGGATTGGGACCATCTCTTCACAGAGGTGTCATCAGAACTAATGACTGAGTGGGACCTGGGACAGTCAGAGAGGGAGGACCACCTCCCATAGAGCTCTGACACATCAGATGCCACATACATAAATCTCCTGTAAATAGTTAATCACTTTAATTTTCTATTCACTTGTTTGTATTTGAGAATTTATTTCAGACATGAAAATAAATAGGACCTTGCTTCATAGAAAAATTGTCTTGGGAGAAGTTTTGGTTATTTTTTAATAAGAATTTTTGTTCTTTAAAGAAATTAAGAATTCTCTAACACAATAAAATATTTACTTATAAAGAGTCATTGCACCTCAGTAGCACCTCTACAGATAACTGCAACGGTTGATCTTTTCTCTATGGAAGCACAGCCTCTCTGGAGTGGACCATCGTACAATGGAGTGTGGTTTGCACTGATGGCTATCAGAGAAGCTAGGCTGATATGACTTGTTTTCATAGGACATCCAGTTTACCATCTTCCTCACAGCAGGCACCTCGGGTTGTCACGATATCTGATTGACATTTCATCCAGCAGCCTCCAGCTTTTCCTTGTTAGTTTAACCTCTCTCTTGAAACATTACTTCTGTATTGACTGAGGAAGCAGCATCACCTATTAAACTGACACTTCTTACTGCCCCTCTTTATATCTTGAGGTTTCCCAGCTAAATTCTGACCAGGCATGACCTCACTTAGCTTTTGCAATCACATGAAACCACAGCCTGAATGGGGATCGCTTCAGGCATAGGTACTTTGCAAGGAGAATGTTTATTCCATGTGTGTGGAAGGATGGAGCCTGATGCTCTCAAACAATACAGGTAACTTACAACAGTTAACTCCCTGGTGGGTGTCTCCTTGGAACCAAGTAACTCACTCTTATTGTCATCTAAACAAAAACTCATTTAGCTGTTAAGACCTTATCCCTGTAGACCCATAGTCATTATTTGAAGAAAAAAGTAACATTACTTCTAAACCAATGTCCTTTAAAGCCAAAGTTGGAGAATCTTACTATATATGTCTGGGGAGTGCAGGTGCTGTGAGGAAGCTTGCTGTGCTGCTTTTCTTTGCTTGTTTGGTTGGTCTAACAGAGCACTGCATTGCCACTTTTGTGACAGCAGGACAGGTCAAATAGCTCACTGTGAATTCGGTACTCTGCAGAATTTCAGGGGAGAGATGACATGCCAAACACCTTTACCAACAAAAAAGAAGGAGTTGGGCCCCAATCTGGAGCCACAAAAATAACGGGAGGCTAATCTGTCTTAAGGAAACACTAAGTTTCTTACAACCAAGATATCTCTCCTATAACTAGAAAACTAAGTGAGGCATAATCTTAGGAGGCCATTGTATGGAATATCTGAAAGTCTTTGTGCAGAGAAACCTGTTTTGGTAGGAGCAGAAAAGCTTCTCAGCTCAGCTAGCATCTACTTTTCTGTGACACTTATGATTCCTGGCCAAAGAGAATTTAGGATGCTTTGTACATCCCAGGAAAAAAAATTAAATTCAGCAAACTAAAATAGGTTTGGTAAATCAGACAACAAGCCAGTCTGAGAGGGGGAAAAAAATGGGTGCTTTTGGCTACCTGCCTCACCTAGGGACCCTGGGCAAAGGATACTCTGGGGTGTAAAGCAGGTGTGTGTGGGCCAGGCCTGTGCCCAATCTGGGACCTTCCTTACCCAGCAAACACCTGAGCAGAGCTGGAGAGAAGGGCTTGAAAAAAATGTCAGCCTCATCTATTTTATGGCAGGAAGAGGTGTCTTTGATCATTTAGTCTGACCTGTTATAATATAGGCCATGGTAGAGTCTAGTGAGATGGGGCTGAGAGTTTCCTGTCTTTTAGAAAGGCAGACAATATATCTAAAACTCTTTCCTGAGTACTTTTTAAAAGATGATTGCCCTTATGGTTTAAAATCTGCTTTATTTCTAGACTCAGTTTTTGAGTTTTTTTGTTTCTTGAGCCTGCTTGCTTTCACCTTTCCACAGCCATGCTGTCAGATATTTTCTCCTTGCTTCAGTATTTATGTGCATAGGGATCAAGTTATCTCTTTAATTTCTTTCAATAAACTTAATAGACTGAGACTTGTTTCCATGTCTCTTCAATTCCTTGAACAGCTGGAGGAGGGGAGGCAGGTGTCGGGCTCCTGGCCCATCTCCAGTAAGCTGTTCCCACCCACCTTCCTTCCACAGTTGTGCTTTTGTTGCAGTGTTGGGAAGATGAATAAGACCTGTTGCTTCTTCTTTCACAAGTCCTGGTGCTGTCACACGCATGTTACTGTCCTTACTAAAGAGGAAAAATGAGCTGCTCTTTCATGCCCAGGCTCGTGGTGATGCACCAGTGTGTACTGGCTGTGACAAAGCTGCCTCAGGAACCCACATTCCTGATAAGTCCTTTGGAAAGAGCACGCAGGAGAGGAAATGGTAGGTGTAACTTTTTCTTGTAGACTGCAAAGCAATTGCTCTGGTTGAGCCTCAGGTGGGATAAGAAGAGGAAGCAGTTTTCAAACAGTGCCCCCAGCTCCTAGGAAGTCGGATCAGCCCTCTGGGCTGTGCCTGGCCAAGGCATAGGTAAGCATTCCCTTGCTGATCTCCACAGACCCTGTATTGCAGTGGGGTAATGCAAGGTACAATGGTGTGCTTAGGGCTGCACAACGAATCTTTGACAGAATCAGGGTTAGAAATTAAGAACCTCAAGTTCCCAATTCAGACTGGCGTTTTCCATCTTCAATTCAAACATGGCAATTCAACGTAGAGCAGTCTTGCTTAGTCTTTGTCCTGCTCTGTACTTACATTGCTGAGGCAGAGCTGCAAACCTGTCAAAGTGTGTGTGTCAACAGCATGTTTAGCTCAGTCAGCTGGCATGAGGTGTCTGCCCAGGGACTTGCTGGGATTCTGGATGGGTGTAAATACCTACCTGCAGATAGCTTCTGGCAGACTCAGAGCTGAATAGAGCAATACTGGGCAAATGGCCTCATCACAGATAAACTAAAAGAAGTGCATAAAGGAAAAATTAAATCTAGGTCCTATCAGGGTTTGCTTGTAATAACACATATGATATTTATGGGCTTTCTTGCTGGAGATGCCTTAATAGAGTGTAGTTTGTCAATGATGGGGGAACACTGGGGCTGAGACAGCCTATGAAACACTGGAAAAAATGGAGGAAATAAAAACTGAAAAAAAGCCAGACCCAGCAACTTTCCATTAAAGAACCTCTTAGAGGGACTGTATCTGGCTGTTTTATTAAGTGTGATAAAGTGAGTGGAGGTGGGGGGAGCCCCTATGTTAATAAGTTGGAAATGCACTGCTGTTCCTCTCTCCAAAGCATCTCAGGGAAAGTGGAATTAATTCATGGCATATGCTCCCAGCATCTGCTGCAGTGACCCGGAGTGGCGGGAGCCGAGTGCCAGGCAGTGTGAGCCAGAGCCTGTATTCCCAGCTCCCCTCCCGGGCCTGGTGCAGTGCTGCTGCCTTGGCTGGGCGTGGGGGCGGCGTGGCTGCTCCAGTGTCCAGGAGCACACCCAGCTGCCAGCCTGCCAGCCCAGCTGTGGGCTGTCACAGCTCAGGACACGGTATCTCTGCTTCTCCAGGAGAGATGCTCTAGGCTTGGGAAGGGAGAAGGGGATGTTTGGATATAAAAGAGACCAGTTTGAATGAAAGCTAATCTGGTTTGTTCCAAACAGCCTAAATTCTTCCCACAGCATTCCCTGACCAAGACCTCCTTTCTCCAGCCATCTGACTTGTTCTATCTTGCTATGAGGTTCTGAGTCCTCAGTTTTCCTCTTCCTTCTTTCCCACCATATCTTTACAGATGATTTGATCCTCTCCTCAAGAGAGAGGGCAGACATATTTGGTATTAGATGGGATTTCATTATCTGTTTAATGGCTTCTGGGAAATATCTTTTCACACCTTATTTCCCCTTGGCTGACTCAGAACACTAGTACAGATTACTATGGTAATCTTGGCCTGTGCTTCATGATCTGCCCATGAGCTTTCCCTCAGGAAAGGGCACCCAGAGCCAACCCTCCAGGCTGCTCTTTCTGCAGCCTTATCCTTCTACCTTTTTGGACAGCTGCCTGAGATACGGGATGTTTTCATGACCTGGAGAACTATCAGAGCCAGGAGAAACTGGAATGGTGAGTGATCCCCAGGCATGGCAGAGATGTCCCACGCTGCTTCTGTGCTCTCCCAGCAACTGCTCCTTGCAGCTTCTCTACTTGTGCTGCCTTTTGAAATGTGGTGCCCCAGTTCTGGGCTGTGCAGGGATGGTGCTGTGCTGAGTGAGGGCCAAGGCAGGGCAACATGGGGGGCTCCACAGTTGGCTGCCCTGGTGAGATCAGTCCTCTCAGGGCCATGCTTTATCCTGGGGGATGACCTGCATTCCTGGCAATCACAGCCTAGGAAGGACCCTAACTAATTTGGTCATGAATGCTGTGTGGCATGGTCATCAGAGTTCCTGAGCCCACTAATCTCTCTGCCATGATCCTTGGGGAGATGAAACATTTCCTCCTAGTGCCCTGCCTACCCCAGCAGGCTGCTCTGCACAGACCTCACTGGGGCCAGAACAGCTCCACGCCATGGGCCTTCTTATCAGGCTCCATCTCCTGTCACTTTCAGGACCACTTCATTATCCTCTTATTAGCCCTCTTCTCCTGCTTATCGTTATTAATAATCGCATTGGATCAGCTGGAGTGCTGACAGCTGCCCCTTGTCTATTCTTTCTGTCTATTTTAATCCTGCCTGCTTATCTGAAATAAACCTGATCCTCTTTCTTTTAATTAAAGAAATTTGGTGAGCCAGCCCCTCCTCCATGCAGGGATAGGACTGATCACACCAGTGATATGGAGGGAACAGGAAAAGGGGCAGATTAGTGAGTGACGTGTTTTCCACAGCCCAAAGATATGGGATGTCAGAGTAGAGGCTGGAAGAGATTGAGGCACACGTGTTGTGAGAAGAAATACAGCACTGGGTCACTGTGAGGTACTTATTTTGGGGTCTCTTTGGTCCAATATACTGATGCAGGGCTGTGTGACTGCGCTGCACCAGTACAACACAAACAAAGGAGGTCTGTTCACCTCTCTCTGTTTAGCATGAGTGGCAATAGCAATGCCAGGCTCAGAGCTGGTATGAGTGGCTCGTATGAGTGGCCAGGGCTGCTGGGATCACTGCAGTTCCTTCAACAGCTAGAGGAATTTGTTCTCAGTGCTTTATAGTGCTGCCAGAAGATGCAAGTGCTGGTCTTCACAGTGATGCTCCTGCTTTGTGCTCCCACAGGCATTGCTTCCTGGGCCACCAATCTCATTCTAGTCCCTTAAAAATGCCTTGCTAGGCAGTTTGCTTGAGCTGAAATATTTGTGTTGTCTGTAGGGACAGGTCACTCAAGGAAGGGCTGTGCAAATAGGCTAGGAGAAAATTGTTGTGCTAATTCACACTTTTATGAACCCATAAACTCAAATCTGCATTCATTGCAATCTGCAAAGTGACTGGAGTGTGGGCTGAAATGCTTAGAAAGTGTTAATCAGGGGTCCGTAACAAAGCAAAACGCTCTGAAGTGCAGCAGCAGGAGCTTGGCCATAAGCAGCAGAGTATTCAACCTTAGTGCTAAACAGGCCACTTCTTTGGCTTTCAAACGCTTCATTTCAGATGCACAGCTTGCAGGTTGACTGAATGCGTATGTACCCTCTGCTGCAGAATATGGCAACTGGCTCAGATTTGTAGGGCTGTTTCACCTGAGAGGCTGTGGGCCCAGGAAGGGTATAGGGCAGAACTTCCTGATGCTCAAGTGAGAGTGTAGCTTTGAAATCCTGTCAAGCAGAGCCATGCTGGCTTCTGTCCCTGTGCTTCTGTTGCTTGTGAGTATTGCATCTGACCAGGATGAATGTTAACCTGCAATTCGGATGGTGGTGGTGGAGCTGCCACAGTACAAACCCATGTATGTGGCTTCACAGATCCTTTAAAAATATGTGATTCTCTAGCAATCACAGGCAAGAATTGTATATGGTGACATATATGCTGTTGCTTCTATGTGAAATTTCCTGCTGCTTACAGAAAATCTCTTCATCATTACTTAATGTTGAACAAAATGTTGGAAAGATGAGAACATGCAGGATTCACTTGTCTAAACTGTTATACTATTAACTGATCAGCTTTTATTTTCTGACCCAGCTCCTTCAGCAAAAATCATTCCTTTTTTGGACCCAAGCAAGGAAAATTCTCAGGATTGGTTTTTGGCCCTGAAATGATGAAGGACACTGCATTTGGTGCTGTGGGACATTTTGAATCAGCCAAAAGAGATGGACTTGCAGTCCATGTGATAGACTGAAGTCTTGCTCTGATCATTATCCTGATCAGCAGAACTACTCACAAAACCAGGAAAATGCCTTGGGAAATTGCCAAAGAATTTGATCCAAGTCAAGCAACCTTCTCAGTGCCTGAAGTTCCAAAGCCAAACTGGAGCTAAGCTTGTCGGTCCCTGTGGCCCGAGAGGTTGTATGTGCAGATG